AGGAATTTCAAACCATCACAATATCATTCAGATTTCTTCTTTGTGTAAAGACTGCTCTGTCCGCTTTCCACCACTTCTCAAGTGTCTATGGTTTGATGGAGTCAAGACATTAGAAAGATGTCTTTAATGATAAAGAGCTTGATGTAATGAAAGTTATTGCAGTCACAGGAGCTTCACACAGGCATGGTAACAGGGGTTAACATATCAGAAAGAAGACAACTGCCTAGCTCAGGGTAAGCTGGTAAAGAGCATATTAGAGGGAAAGAAGACTGAGTCCTGAAACTATCACTTTGGGCTAAGGAAACAGACTGCAATCACAGAATGCACTTATAAACATTATTTTTCAGAAGAAATTCCTTCTCTAGATTACTGGTAAATGGTAATTTTATGGTAATAACAAATTGCAGATGTATTCCTCAGAATCCTGGAAAACAATTAGCAGGAATTGGAAAAATGCCATGGTTAATCTCTTCAGCATGCTTCTTTTGTTTAGAAATTCAGAGTCACACAGGATTAGTTCTAGGACCTGTGCTGTTCACAGCAACTCAAAAAAGGCAGCACAGACTTTTGGCCTCAGAATTGGTTATTCCTCGGGTGAAGGAGCTAAGGAAGGGTATGGCGGGCCCTACAGCCATACCTGCAGAGTGAGTGCTCATGGACAGCTGGGTGGCCAGAGGGTAGGAGGGGGAGAACAAAAGACATTCTGCTGCTCTCTAACTGCTGGGATGTGCAGGTTTTTTTCCTTTAAAGGAAAGGAACACAGAGGAACTAGAAAAGAAATGGAGGAAGATAATTAAGGCATAAAATGAGCCTGGCATAAGTAAAGAGAACAGCATTATTCAGTTCCAAAAGAGATTTCAGAGAGTATGGATGATAGAGGTCTATAAAATTACAAAGAAGGTGGAAAAGGTGACCAGAGAGTGATTATTCACTGTTTCTCACAGTAGAAGAACCGAGAGGAGTCAAAGGATACTATTATCAGGCAGCAAATTCAAAATGAGCAAGAAATACTTTGTTCACATGACAGATAGGTTGTGTAACTGAATACCACTGAGTCTTGCAGAGTTATAAATGGGATCAAGAATTCACAGAAGATAGGTCTTTCAAAAGTTATTTTAAAACCAATGTGTAGATGCAACTTCTTCCTGTGGAATTTTCTAAGCTGTAATGCTGACAGCTGCCCCATTTTGCACTATGGACCTAAGCTTCCAGTACCTGCCAAAGACATGAGACAAAGCAAGATGAACCCATGATGGTCTAATTAGATCTGACCCACCTTGTCTTCTCCACGATCTCATATACACATATGTTGTGGTTTCCAAAATAAGTTGTTGCTTTCGTTGGTTTTGCCTGTGTCTAGGCACATTTCCTTGGAGGGTTTCAGCTCTGTCCCGGTGTGGAACTGAACTCCATGGATCAAGGGAAAAAGTTTGGGTCTCAGTACACATGAAAAATATCCAAGTGAGATCCAGTACTCTGGCATGTGTCCTGGATTCCCTTTTCTTTCTGTCCCCACAGAAAATTACTGATGACTTTCATGAGGTAGAACAGAGCAGGTATAGAGATGTATGTATTTCTTAAAGCAAAACCGTGCTGGAGGACATTAAGCAAATGCATCCGAACTACAGCTATTCAGAACGCTTTCATTTTTTCAGTCCTTCACTTTGAGGGACAAGCCAGTGGCTAGCCATGGGTATGGACTACTATGTGTAGTCCTGAACAGTTGTGCTTGACATGCTGGCTGCTCTGCCTATGTGCCAAACAGTCGCATAACTATCTGCAGAGATTCTCCATACAGGACTCCTGATTCTGCTTCAGAAAGGCCTGATGCCCTGCAATCCCGGACAAACAAGCTGCACTGGGTGATGCTGGAGAGAAAAAGGGATCCAAAATGTCCTTAATCTCACTTGTTTTGCCACTAAGTCCATGACTGTGAAAAGTGCTATGCCACCAGGATACAAGAGAAACTGCCTTGGCAAGTGCAATGATTCTTGAGGCTTATTAGTCTGCTTAGTGCTTAGGAGTAGCTGGAAGCTGTTCTCTAGTTATAATAATAATTGAGTCATTTAAAGTTTCCTTTGTTTCAGCCAGAGGATTTGTAGCTGGCGTTCTGATTTTAGATCATCATGGCAATATAATTACCATTTTAGTTTACATCTTTTCTGCTGTCAAGTTGTCTGTTCCAGTTTTCAGCCTGTATTCAAGATAGAGGGATAGGAATCCGGCAGATCTGTGCTGCAGCCTTTTTGTTTGACTATGCAATTGCCTTTTCTAAGAACTCAAGCAAGTCTGTCTCTGTGCTGCTTCTCAGTTCACACTGCTTGTGGATGAAATGCCTGGCAGGAAGAACTTGCAGTCTCTGTTTGCACGAAGATAGCTGATAAGGACCCAGAAATCCAGGAGCTTTTCTTCCACATGTCTGTGATGCCCTGGCAAAAGTAGCCATTTTTCTATCGGGATTATTTTAATATTTTAAGAAACTTGCTTCTACATCCTTATAGCTGTAATTCTTTTGTATTTTGATAACTTTCCTCTTTAAAATTTGCTACTATCTACCCTATGTCAGTGATTTCCACCCCACTCCCAGACTGGAAGGCATGGAGGGGCCAGCTGGAACAGAGTAGGGCCTTTTTTAACTGCCTTTTCTACACCCATGCATAAATCATAATTAATTGCTAGAAAAAGAACTTGATAATTGAGTTATACTGCATTTACTGTGTCAGCTGTGGAGAACAGCAAAGCTGCAGTTGTTCCTGGCAGAGGGTGTTTACGCCCCGTAGCTGTGATCACAGAGCATTGTCACACAAGGTTTTTCCCTTTCATCTGGGACTAGTAACTTCTCTTTCAAACAGCTTTAGGCAGTGGGCTGAATGCATGCAGGTCCTGTGTCATCTCTGCTGCCTTTTTGTAGCTCCATCCATCCAGGTAACAGTCTCTTTTCTGGTCTCCTTCTTCTAGGAATATCTGTGCCCATTCCGGTCATTGGTTTGCAGGATGATTCCAGGGTATTCGTAAATGGGATCTGTGTCCTCAATGATGAGAACTTTGTCCTCATTGGATCCTTCATGGCGTTCTTCATCCCTCTCATCATCATGGTGATCACATATTGCCTGACCGTCCAGGTGCTGCAGAGACAGGCAACAGTGTTCATGTGTGGAGAGGTGCCCAAGCAGAGGAGGAGCAGCGTGAATTGCCTCAAGAAGGAAAACAACACAGAGAACCTTTCAATGCTTCACAATCATGAGGGGGCATCTCACTTGAACTCTCCTGTAAACAAGGAGGCAGTGCTTTTTCGGAAAGGAACTATGCAGTCCATCAACAATGAACGAAGAGCTTCCAAGGTCCTGGGCATCGTCTTCTTTTTGTTTCTCATAATGTGGTGCCCATTTTTCATCACTAATGTCATGTCTGTCCTTTGCAAGGAAGCCTGTGATAAAGACCTCTTGAGTGAACTCCTTGATGTGTTTGTTTGGGTGGGGTATGTTTGCTCTGGGATTAATCCCCTCGTATACACACTCTTCAATAAAACATACCGCAGGGCTTTCTCCAATTATATCCGTTGCCAGTACAAGACCGGTAAAAAATCAACACTGCGGCAGAATCAGTGTCTGAATGTTGCTTCAACAACTTTATATGGGAAAGATCTGACTTTAACTAGTTATCGAAATGGCAATGAAATCAATAGCATGGAACTAGATGAAGTTGAGGAGGGACTTCGAATGCAACCAGGGACTTCAGAACTCTCCATAAACAGCTGCAATGTTGTAAGTGAAAGAGTGAGCTGTGTGTAAAGGTGGCTCACATAGCCTTTTGCTACAGTGTATCAGTAAACAAAATATATTGTGTAAAAATGTAAGTGTTGGTCAAAGGACAATGTAAATATTGCATTCTGAACAAAGCTTTTTTTTTTTTTTTTTGTAAGAAAAAACAAAAAGAGTTGTCTTTCCAGTCCAGTACTTAAAATCATATACATTAATATACTGCAGTGAAGTTTAAGGTTCTATATTTACTGTTAATACTAGATCAGAACTATTAATTATTTTGCATATGTCATGGACAAAATGTTTGAATTCTTCTTCCAGTGCATGAACAAAAATGCTGAATATTTATCTCAGGTGGCATTTGCTGGAGTGCAGAATGGCACGATAATAGTTATATATCAAGTATTGCTATTAGACTTGGTCAGTATAACTTTCTTTTTCAAGTTGACAGTAAATATATACTTTAAATCCTCACCCCTATTTGTGCCGTGTAAAGACTGTACAGAAACCTGGCAGGGCGACATCACGAAAGCATATTGGCCGTGCAGGCACGTGGCCAGACATGCTCTGCTACGAGTAGTGGCTTGCTGCTGTACTGGGGCAATCTTGCACCACAAGTGATTTCTGTTAAATTTTGTCTCCCTCTCCAATCCTGCTGTCTTCTTTCCGTTCCCTGGGAGGCTCCAGCTCCCCTAAGAAAGGCGGGGAATTCAGCTCTGGTATGGTTTTACAATCCTGGCTGGGATCACTTGTGCTCTTGGAGGAGAATCATGAGAAAGAGAGTGAACCTGAGTTATCTGCTTTAATCATTTTATAAATGCAGGGCCTCAGAATTACAAAAGGCCTTCCTTTGGTCTTATAGATAACCAGCACCTCTGGGATGGAGCAAGCTGTGCTCAGTGTGTATGGCACTGCCTTCACAGATTGCTTGGATGATCAAGGTTTTTGGCTGACCAGGAGAAGAGTGCTCTGACTTTGTAAGAGCTCATCTTCTCAGTCCTCACATCTGTTTATTCCTGACCTTGTTTAGCATTTACTTCTATTTTTCAACATCCTGGGACTTGCAGTGCTGGTGATAAAATACTGTTTTGGGTGTAAAGCAGAAGCTGCTGTGTGTGTGGTGCTGGTCAGGGTCAGGCTGTAAGATGCGAGATACAACTCCATGGGGGATGCTGAGAGAAAGGCATAAATGAAGCTCCCTGCTCTTCTGTCTCAGGAGAGGGTGTCCAGAGCTCGATAGACTATGCGACTAGAATAATTTGCTGGTGACACAGTTCAAAAGCAAATGATGATCAGGGACAGGAAGGAAGCAGACCTGGAGCTAGTCTACATGGAAGATTAATCTAGATTAACTTTTAAATTTGATTTATTCCATTTCGCTCCCAAAGTAATTTATAGGGTATTCATATTAATACCACTTACATCTTAATGAAAGCATTCACACTGTTATTTAATGCAGTTTAAGTAATCAGCTTTTAATTCACACCATGTATAATTTGAATTAATTTTCCTGTGTTTCTGTGTAGACAAACCCTCTAAGGCACTGTGCCTCTGGAGTGATGCCTCTCATGCAGTTTTCCTTGTTTAGAGTATTATCTAATCCCAGATATTACCCATAAGTTTTTTACATCTTCATCAACTAATACACAAATGCTGCAGTGCCCATCTAATATGGATGCATTTAGCATCACTGACAGCCTCAGTCTATGAGAATCCTTAGAACAGAAAAGCTTACACTAGGCATGGATAAACTGCATTTCAGTAATATGAAATGCTTGTACTCTAAGCTTGCTGTGTTCATCCCACCAAAATTAACTTGTAGAAGAAATGAAAAATTCTGCTAGCCCTTCAGCATAATGTTCTGCTGTTGTATTGCTGTGTACAGCAATAACCTCTCTGAGGCCACTATTGGAACATGACATACAGGTTACATCTGCTATGGGGTTGCTCCCAGCTTGATGCACTGAAGTTGATGGCTCTTCCTTCTCCCTCTACCCATTCTGGGAAAAATCCATAATACTTACATGCAGACAGGTGAGGTATCTCAGTGTGAGCATAGCTTACTGCTTGCAGAAAGCAACAGAGATGCATTATGTGCCAGCCTGCTGATACTACCATGGGCTTGAAGGCTCATCCATCCATTTGCCTCTCCAAAAAGGTCTGGTAACCAGTAGGAAAACAACAGGGCAGAGACGCAAACTTGTGCCTTCAGTGACTGCCCTTTGATCTGAGTCAGATTTGACTATCTCAAACAGTACAGAATAATCAGAAAGATCACATTGCTTCTAAAATTCTCTTTTTGCCCTGGGTTAATTCATAGCATATCTTTTCCAAACATCTATGTGTGTATATATATGTGTGAATGTGTACATATATATACATATATATATTTAAATGCCAACCACAGACTTTGAAAGCATTTAGCAATAAGTTGAATTACAGTAGCTTCTAGCATGTATGAATAGTTTGTGTGAATAGCTCATTTTCCACAGTATCTTCAAACTTGGTATAAGTCTGCACACAGGCATTGTCTTTGCATAGGAGCCTTCGCATCTTACCCTTGTCAGTTGTGTTGTATGGGCAAAAAGGGAACCTACTATATTTGGATGTAAATAATGGGAATCAAACAGAGAATTTACAGAATTTTTATAAATGCTTTTAAAAAATTCAGCACCAAAACTGTAAATATGTTGACGTGGCTACTCAGCTGGACCTGTTCTGATGTACGTCACTTGTTTAGAAAAACATACAAGGGGACTGCCTTACAGTGCTTGCGTTCTCTCCCGGCCAGGGGGTGATAACATTTTTGTGAATGGTTGAATACTGTCACTTACCCAGCTTCCCTTGGGTTGTTCACATCAGGGTTTTGTGATGCTGCTATTAATTTATTAAAGAAAGTTCATTGGTTTAATCACTCAATTTTTTTTCATGGTCTGTCAAAAAATAAATAAATGAACATACCCTCTCTTTCTTTCATCTATCCCATATTAAATCTTTCGTAAGTGAAAAATATGTTGTGACCAAAAACCAAACCAATATGAAAAAATGAGAATAAGGATAAGAATAATTTTCATTGCTACTCCCATATCTAAAGTATGGCCCACAGTTCATGAATCACAAAAATTAATATCAGCAGATATCCCAACAGTTCCAACCCCAAAACTTGATAAATACAAAGGTGGTGATAAACTATTCCCCCTCTTCTCCTCACTCCCTCCAGGAATAACTGTTAAAAATGGCATTTTTAAAATTACCTCAATTTGAAGAATGGATTTAACTCTCTGCAACTTAACCAAAGTCAGATTGTCCCCACAGCAGCTTTGCTTCTCCTGAGCTGTAGTCATTAACCATGGTGGTGCTTCAAGAACCTCTGCGCTGAGCACAGCCTGGTGGGAGTAGCCACTGGAAATTTTGTCTGAGTCCTCAAACCTTGGCACAGGTATGGTTTTGTCTTACAAATAGTGTGTGTGGTGAGGTTTTGTTTTGAATTTGGACTGAACAAGTCAAAACAGTTCCCTGGAAATGGTGCTGTAGGCTGAAACGTGTTGGTTGCTTTTTTTCCTGAACCAGATAGGATATGTGCAGGTGAGCTGCCTGCAAGACTGAGCATGAACATAGAGGCTCCAGCCCAGCAAACAGACCGACCTGTTTTACTGCATCAGGGAGTCTACTCGTGGTGTCAGCACCTGAACTAGCACCTTTCTGAGCTGGAGAGGCTTGCAACCTTCCCCACTAGAGACCAGAAGCAAGGCTGGCCATGTTTGCTCAGGCACAAACCCTTGTGGCTGAGCAACCTGGCTTCCAGACCTGAGCTAGCTGATCTACATCTGTAACATATTGCCCCACACAGCCAAGGCTGGGTTATAGCATTCATGGAGTCAGCCATAGTGTTTTTTGGGAACTCTGAAGGCCTCAAAGGCTGTCCTTTGAGGACAAGGGCCTACTCCTTCAGTCCTTTGCTCACTAAAGAGCTTCTACCTAGACATTGTGGCATTTGGGAGACAATACAGTTCAAAGCCAACGCTGAGGAGCCTCAAGGCATCCCACCTCAGCATGGCTCTCCTTGTTCTAATTACTTATGTCAGCAAGAGTTTTTATCTCTGTGATAAATTAAAGATGCTAATTTTATTGTGTGAGTAGTCAGTCAGTGTGAACAGTGTGGTTAGTGCCTTTTTCTCTATATGGACACTCATGTAAACCACTAGTGCCTTTCTTATGGACAAAGAGGTTCATCACCAGCAGAGCATGGCCAGTGCTCTTCCCTTCCAAGTCAGCAGGCTGACTGCAGACATTTGATGTGCCAGAGACACAGAGGTCCTGGATATGAAGACCCAAATTCCAAAGGAAGAACATATTTTTAAAGAAAAAAAGCAAACTACAAGCAGCTCTTCAGAAATAATGTTTAGCTTTTAGCTAATGAAGACTGTCTGATGTTCTTGCAGATAAATTATGCTAATCTGACATTCCAAAACCAGCATCCGTGATGTGATAAAGATGCAGATGTCTCTTGGCTGGATTTCCTCCCTGAGTCACAGTATCATTAGGAAAGCTACGCGCCAAGCCAAGAACTGCACTTGGCTTTGTCTCCATTTCAGACTGGTGCAGAAAAGGCAACAGAAGCTTTTTCCTGGGAAAAAGCATCCGAAGACCACCAAGCCTTCGGCCAGTACAGCAGAACAGAGATGGACAGAGGTACACTCACATCTGCATACATGATCACACACATCCCAGAGTCCCAGAGAGCAAGAGGACACATGTCATCATGTTTCAGTCTTCCCTCGAAACAGTGGGAATAGCTGAACAGCTGGGAAGGAAACCTTGATGGGAAGATCAAATACAGCTATAGGTGTCCCTGTGAAGTGTGGGCTGTTCTAGCGGTAATGTAGTAGTAGGGGTGCATGTACCAAAAAATGCTTTTATTTTTTCAACTATGAAGTTGTTGTTGACTGTTCTGCCTCGTTTTAATTTAAGTCTCGGGTCTTCTGCTTATTCACTTTTACCCATGCTGAAACTCATGCTCTGAAGCAGTCAGAAGTTGGCAAAACATTTATGTGATGTGTCATTCCCTCTTGACTGTTCAGGGATGCTGCCATCCCATAACAACATAGAAATGGAGAGTCTTCAGATGAGTAATTTTAGATACCTATGAGACAGACAATCGGTGCAACAAGGCACACTTCCTGATTAGAGAACCACAGCAGAAGATCTTTGACACCACAGAG